GAACTTGTGTCAAACATTGTTTTTAACATCGTGCTCTATCGATATTGTTCTCAAAATAGCCATTTTTGAAAAATGTTAGGATAAGTTTCTCAAAATCAATGATTCCAGCACTTGACATGCAATTACAGCCGTTCTGAGAATTATTCGGTCAGTTAGCAAAATGACTTGCAACTTTGCAAAACACTTTGGTCTTTGCCCAATCTAGACTTGTTGGTGCCACATGAGTGACGGGCGCGTGGTTTGGGATTACTATTTAATAGGGGTTGTCGGCTTGGTGAATTGTAAGTATTATCTAGCGTGCGTTTACAGCAACCATTCTTTATTTTTTATAATTATATTGTAATTATTTTCAGTAATTTTGAAAATCACAAGTTGGGTGTTGCTTAAATCTGTCTGTCGCATACGACTTATTTACCACTTCCGTGTCACTGAGAATGTTCTAGAACCGTACTGTGTCTGGGTGGAATATTCTATATTTTTTAGAAAATGGTTGAATAGGTAATAGAACACTGTAGGAGGCAATAGAAGGTAATGGAACATTCTAGAAATTTGTAGTAAGTTCCAGACTCATTATATATGCTGATGTAATGGTCTATTTATAGACAGTGGGGGTATATATGGGGGAGTTGTTCAGCACCGAGTTCAGATCGGAGATCTCGTTGAATTGTATTGGAGTTTAAGTATCTAGTTATTGGAGTAGTGGAGTTTTACCGCGTTATTGTACTTGCTGTTTGCAGAGTATAATAATACCAGTACCAGTTGAAACCTCATCTGTTGGCTCCGTGTTCGTATGTTATCATCGCGGCCAGGGAAGTCTTTCTGTTACTGTTGCCATTTTGGTATTTGAACCATCACACCTGTACTATACCAATTACAGTAATATTACGTTGCGCGTGACACTGTCGAAAAATGTCAACCCCTCGCCCATTTTAGTCAGTTGTACCTGTTACAAAAATGGACTAAATATAATAACGGTCGTTATACCCAGTCACATTTTCAAACTGCAGTTGAAAAAGTGATTCGATGTTAGGTGGACTCAGATGGTTATAACAATTTAAAATAACACTTTGAATGCATATACAACATATAACCTGTTAATATATGGTAACCAACGCGTGTCGCTTTGAAAACAGCGTTTTACCCGCATCTTGCAAGATAATGGAATTATTCCAATTGTGGGCATGCCAATACAACGGCGCCATCAAGTCTAGATTGGAAAAGACCCAAGTGTTTTGCAAAGTTCCAACATATATTGCTAACTGACTGTTCGAATAATTCTCAGAACGGCTGTAAGACACTCAAGTTTAAATCCAATCACATTAGTTTACAATGGCGGAAGTAAACAACATATCTATGTACTTCCAAAGTTATTTTGCTGGAAGACGTGGCTGAGTTCACCAACATTCAGTGAGTTCAAGTTGGATCCTGCTTCCTCTGCTATTTGTGGTGTTGATATTTTTATCACATGCAAGAAACAGATGATCAGACAGTCTGAAGGCCATTTTTAGCGTATTCTAGGAAAGGAAAGTCACAATCACAATTGAATTTTTTAATTCTAACTCCAGCTTGCATAAAATGTTTTCGATGGCATCCACAGTTAAACGGGAATTAAAACACAACTACATAACTGTGTTGTTTGCAGGCTTACAAGTTTTTTCAAGTGATTGGTAAATAGTGGGTGGAAATGGTCCAGCACATTGTGAGATATGTCAACAAGAAGAACATTGTACGAATGGCTATGTGATGGCTATCATAATTAACAGTTTCTGCAATCTGATTGGTGCCGACAAGATCTTGTTGGTGATAGCAGTAAACTACATCATTCTGTCAGTCATAGTTTGCATCTTTGTGAATCTGTCGGCGAGGACGCACTATCACCAACCATATCAGGTTACTCGTACACAAGCATTTGGTAACGCAAGTCATATATTCTACTTTAATTAAGACAGAAATATTTTTACTATTTGTTTTACATACATCGAGTCAAAACAAAATCTTATAAAATAGACAAGAACAAATGTCAAGTTAGAACTACACAAATATTCCGTAACTGACAATAAGGATAATGTAAAATTACATTTTTTCCATGGTAACTATTTTGCTTGACTCATTTACAAACCAATTTGACACACATAAGAGACAAAATAATAAAATAATATTATTATGGGACTTCTTCAATTGTCAACTTTAGCTTGTCATGTCCTGTCCTGTCATCATTGTACACATAGTACACAAGAATAAAAATCATAACTGAAGTAATTTAATTTTGTTGTTTGTTGCTTTCTTGCATGTGCTTTAAATAATCTTGATACATTTGCCAATTAGTTAATCTCACTTTGATTGCATTTCTAATCTCTCTTCCAAATAATCCTTTAAAACGTATTTTATCAAGCTGTTTTTCAAACCGTCGACGTTTTACTCTTTCTCTGTGTTGCCTGATCTTCCTTCTAAGAAAGCGAATTCGCTTCTGCCGTTTCTTGAACTGATGTCTGTTCATTTTGCGTCTCCGTTTTTGCATTACATTGGAAGCTTCTTTAGAAATTTCACTAATGCCTGGTAGATTCAAATCAGCTGAAGAAGTTAGCGGGTCAGATATCTGCAAGATTTCATGATTCATTGGACAATCTATGATCTGGTTGATATTCATATTATCTAATATTGCAACACTTTTCTCTTGGTACACTGAAGGTAACACATAGTTCTGAATCTGCTGTGGAGAAACGCTAAGTGTTGACAATTGCTGATCAAGATAAAACATGGTAAAGTCTATGTTGTTATGATCGACAACGTTGTTGACATTTTGTCTCCAGGAAGGAATTTCTTGAGCTATACTGGATACATCAGAACGGTATGAACTGCTCGTTCTCAGATAATAAGTCATGGTACGAGCCCCAACATGGTTGATACCTGTAAAATACATAGCATACACAGTAAAACCAGTCTAAGCTAAATCTAAGCTGAAACATATTGCATGTTTAGCACGATAAGTTATATTTACAAAGGAATCTTGTCTAAGCTAAATACTATCGGTAGTACCGGGTAATTGTGAGAGAAATGTAGTGACAACACAAAATATAATTATATGATTTTCACATTACTATAAGTGTATTATAAAGTAAGTATCACTACACTCCTCAATCTAACATTTTATTTGAAAATTTTTTAATTTAATATTTGAGAGGTGCTCAGACTAATAAATATAATGGTTGTTAGTAATAGTTGGCCTTGGTAATTATCAAGTCTATCAGACTCACTTGAGATATTGGCACCTCGTTAGTAGGCACCTCGTTAGTAGAATCAGAGCAGTTATATGTATTACAACCAGTTTTATTGTGAAATGTGATAAAATCTTTTCTTACAATTAAACATGCATAGAAAATAATAAAGGAAATATCTGTATTTTTTTTAAAAAGCACTAAGGTAAACTTGTGCAATAAGATACTTAAGACACTGATGTAATTGCTTCAGATGCCTACATGAAGTTCAGAACCTGTGTTAAAGCTGTATTTGCAACCTAACAGACATGTGACTTTGACTTACATTTCGACTGCAAACATCTTTGATAAGCTGAGATGCACAGTGATCTTCTCAGTGCAAACATAGTGATCTATAAAAATACAGTGACACATGAAGTTAACAAGGTCTTAAAGCAAGTCTCAGTATTGGTGCAGCAAACTAGAAGAATTTGGTGATCAGTTTTACTTTGATTTTGCAAATAGTATACTAGTGTTGACAAATGGTCACACTGAATTGAGGCAGAGATGAATTATTTCAATGTTGCTCAACTCCAATTAGTTTCTAAAACTGTGATATATTATGTAAACAGTTGTGAATATTTGTATAATGTCAATCAATGTTTGAAATTACTGGCTGCCCGTACATCTGGTAATTTTCCAGTCAATACAAATCTTGGCAAATTCATTTTTTCATGTATTTTTTCTTTATATTCTTCAATATTTCAGGAAATTACCTTAATTTTGAAGCTGACAGACAAAATTTAAGTAAATTTTCAGTTTTTGTCTCAATTTTGTGAAGCAATGAGCACTATAAACAGGACTGTGAATTTATGATGGAAGAGGAAACTGGTGGTGAAAAAGTTAAAACTTTATCCAAATGATGACATACACGTATGTCTGTTTTAAACACAACTGACATGTCTCATGAACAGTGAATAAATGTGTACAGTCAACATGTCCAACAGATTCTTGAGTTAAATTGTGTTAAACATCTAACGAAGTACTAGATCAATATGTTCGCAAGGCAGTATATTGAACATGGAAAATACAACGTAATATTGACATACTGTTTGTGTCATACCCAGCTTGTTTTGCACATTTTCTCAATATTGAACATGGAAAATACAACGTAATGTTGACATACTATTTGTGTCCTACCCAGCTCGTTTTGCACATTTTCTCAATATTGAACATGGAAAATACAACGTAATGTTGACATACTATTTGTGTCATACCCAGCTTGTTTTGCACATTTTCTCAATATTGAACATGGAAAATACAACGTAATGTTGACATACTATTTGTGTCATACCCAGCTTGTTTTGCACATTTTCTCAATATTGAACATGGAAAATACAACGTAATGTTGACATACTATTTGTGTCATACCCAGCTTGTTTTGCACAATTTCTCAATATTGAACTTCATTACAATATTGTGTAATCATTACAATGCTGTCGATTACTGAAATAACACATTCTCATTGGTCAATTGAACGAATAGCTATGCTATATTCTCATTGGTCAATTAAATGAAGGCTACACTTTCTTCTCATTGGTCAATTAAATGAATAGAAATGTTCTACTTCCATTGGTCAATTAAATGAATAGCTATGCTATATTCTTATTGGTCAATTAAATGAATAGCTATGCTTTATTCTCATTGGTCAATTAAATGAACAGTTATACTTTATTCTCATTGATCAATTTAATTTTTTATTAAAGTACAACGACGACCCCCTTTTAACGACACCAAACGATATATCATAGTATGAACTGTTTAGAAAATGTCGTTTACCCGATCAAATTCGAGTCATTTTTCGAAAATTGGCTAAAAACTGTTCTACATCTAGCCTCGTCCGCTACCGGCCCAGAGAACTGGGAGTCACGTGACAAATAAGTGCGTGATGTAATAAGTTGAACTTGCTCAGGCTGTCGTGTATGGTGTACTGTGTAAGCTGAATAGGGAAGAAGTTTTTTATCGCATCAAAGAGTCCTTGCTGCTTTATTGGAAACTCGTGCCAGCCATGGTAAAGCGATGCATAGTAGCTGATTGATTTGTTCTTTTTTCCAACGGAGATAAAAAAACAGAGACTCTGGACAGCATTCATCAAAACTAAGAGAGATAAGTGGACAACTCCTTCCAAATACAGTGTGATATGCAGTGATCATTTTGCTACATCATGTTTTGAAAATCCGGAAGAAATTTTTTTAGAAGAACAATTTGGGCTTGTTGAGAAGAAGAAGACTACGAAAGGATGCAGTGCCGACGATATTTTCCAAGAATTTGACAGAGCGACGCAGTGAAGTAAGGCGACCTAGTTTTGAAAAGCGACAGCAGCGTCAGGTTAGTGTAAACTAGATCAGGACGTACTGCGTCTGTATCTCATTTAATATATGTATCTATAATCAATACAAATTTCGTTTAAAAATAAGAATACTCAACAATTTCGGTGAAAATTACATTGTTTATCCACGAATATTATTAGCATGTCACCTCATAAGATATACATCTGGTGCTTACACTTTTTAAAGTGCGTCCTTTTCATGTCATTAATTTACAAATTTCCGTTGGCTAAACTTTTTTTTACTGTCCAATGTGCCCGTGGATTCTAAATAAATTATTCAAGAAATACCAGAGTTGAATGCAGAAAGCAAAGCAGTGTTGCAGCAGACTGTGGAACCTTCCGATGATCAGACAGTAGATATTGGGTGCCAGACAGCTGAAGTGATTATAATAGAAAAGGTTAGTTACAGAATCAAACCCGAGTAGCTTCCAATAAATATATCATGTCATTATATAGATTTTTATTTATTGTGTTCTTTTTTCCGTCATGTTTATTTAATATAGGTTTTAACAGAGTCTACAGACTGCCAAACTGTGGCTCCTCGTAAAAGATCGGCTAAAATACAAACGAATTTCAAGAGTAAAACGAAAGATATAGGTGAGTTACTTCGCTATTATATACATACATGTATCAAATATTTATCCGCATGTGTGTTTGTTAATATTATTTTATTTTTTTTCAGCCTGTCAGACAGAATCCGACGTCCAAAAAAATAGTATATCTATACAGTGTGATATTGGAAACAATGACCCAATTAATATATCCACGCCCGAAAATAGAGATGTTGAAATGGGTGACTATGACAGCGATGACGACAATCAAACAATAGATTCAAAAGATGACGACTATGAAAATATCACTGATATTACTGAAGAAGACAACAGATCTATGAATATTACGGAAATAAAGTATGTCTACATCTCGTAACATAGACATAACATAAGTGTTCGTATTGTAAAGTCACATATGTAGTTGTACATGGTTTCGCTGCATTTATGTTTATTATATTTTTATTTTCAATTCCAGTGTCAGTCCTCACAAGGAAAGAAAGTACATTATTTTTGAAAGCAATTTACTTAAGTTGTTTTCTATATGTAACATATGCCCACTTGCCTACTGAGGGAAAAATAAAGCAACAGATTGGGTCTTGCATCGTAGTTTCACAGGAATGTGAAAATTGTGGCTTCAAGAAGGAATGGGAAAGTCAACCTTTTATCAAAACTGTTCCTGCTGGAAATCTGTTACTTGCTTCATCAATTCCCTTCTCTGGTGCAACTCTGGCAAAGTCTTTGCGCATATTTACACATCTCAATTGTATGGCAATTAGCGCGACTACGTTCTTCACGCATCAAAAGCTCTACCTTCAACCTGCTATTATTTCTATATGGAAGCAACATCAATCACGACTTATAACAGAATTGAAGTCTACTGGAAGACCATCATTATACGAGGAGATGAATGTGCTGATACACCAGGGCATTCGGCGAAATATGGCTCGTATACAATTATGGAATTGTCTGTCAATAAAGTCCATGATGTACATCTTGCAGGTAATATTTATTTTGAAATCATATCTTTGTAAGTGTAAAATGGGTCGTCATAATGCTTTGATGAATGTTAATATTTTTTACTCATCAGTTCCAGTCAAATGAAACAAATGTAAGTTATCATATGGAAAAGGAAGCTCTCAAAAGAAGTTTGAATTTCATAAAGGGGGAGGAGTTAAATATCGGAGAAATCATTACAGATAGAGACAGACAAATAAATAAGTTCATTCATGAAGAGATACCAATGTGATTAAAATCTGATGTAATGTACGGGCTTTAATTATTTTGGCTATAAACTTATTTTAATTTTATTTTTTATTACTTTTGTTATTAATGCCCTTTTATTTTATTATTTTACTTTGATTTTGATTTTGTGATTTTTTTTAATTCCACCCTACCTAACATTTGATTTTAATCAGATTGGAAGAGATACCAGATACCACGCATTATTACGATGTTTGGCACGTTGCCAAAGGTAAGCGTTGTTAGTTTCAAAATAATGTGACTGCTATATATTAGTATTAATCACTGTAATAAGAAGTATTTATTGCACTAGCCCATATACAAACATATCAAACCGATGTTTAAAATGTAATGGGTACAAGTAAAATATGATAATATTCTCGGTTATTGATCACATGGAATTAAATAATAATTAATTTGTTAACAATTGTTTCCTAACTTCAAATGCTCTGAACACAAACACACAAATATTTCGTAGAATAACACCATTTGTTGCTTGAACAAGCCTTTGAAATTTATCCATGGTTGGTTGGAATGAATAATGTTGGGCGATTAACTCTCGTCTTAATGTGTTATAGGCTGGGCAAATCAACAGAAAATGATATTCATCCTTAACAAAATTAGCATGACATACTTTACAGACTCTTTCCGTTGAAGGCAAACTTTCTCCGGTTGTAAGGTACTCTTGAACTCATTGTAATTACCTAATTTTGGTTTCAAGGACGCATTTGCTTTCCAAAGCTGTTTCTGCGTGTCGGAGACTCGCAGTACAAATTCAGAAAGAAAAACGTCCTTGCTACCTACTTCTTGAGCTAGCCAGACATACCCAAAGCCATATGAATACAAAATGTGTTTAATTGCCGTCACCCAGTTATTTCTACCTAGGTCATTGAGATTACGCAACATTCAATAGGCATGCCTGGGAATTCTCGTCGGGGGGGGGGGGGGGGGGGAGAGTTCTAAGAGTCTAAGCCAATACTTAATACAACGTTTAAGTGTGGAAACAAAGATTGGAAGTCGCCCACATTCTCCAACTATAGCTTCTTTGGCAGTACCTTGAGGGAGCCCAAGAAGCCTCCTGCACCATTTCCTATGTACTTTTTCAATTTGGTCGTAGTATTGAAATCCCCATACAGTGATGTAGATAATTTTTTTAATAGGTGGTTACACTGAAATTATAGGCGGGCAAGGTCAGTGTGACACTTGCCGGCACAACGCTCCACAGGCA